TATATATACATATATATGTGTTTATATATGTATATGTATATATAAATATATTTGTTTGTATGTATATATATATATATTTGTATAGATGTTTGTATATATATGTGTATGTTTTTTATTTTGTATATATATTTATATTTTTATTTGTATATAGATATGAATATATATGTATATTTTTTTTTCTGTTTATTTATTTTATTTTAAATTTTAAAAAAAATCGATTTTTTTATTTTTTCGGAATTTTTTTTAAAAAATATGACGTGGCATGCTGATGTGGCAAAAAATCTATGTGGCGTGCCACGTCAGTCGCCACGTGGCGTGCCACGTCAGCGGTTAACGGACACTTAACACCGTTTTCGGATTGTGTAGGAAATTGCAGTTAAATTGGGTAGTTCGTGTATCAATTTGGCACATTTGATAATTTGGTATAGTTTTTTGTCAAATTAAAAATTCGTGTAGGAAAAGATCACATTTTGCAAAGTTGGTGTAGGAAAATGTCATTTTCCCTAAAATAAATATAAGTAATTTCCTAATGCAAATCCGGTACATAAAGTTTGGTCTCCGGTTCGGTATTCACTAAACCGGTTCGTCTTTCACACACACCCGCTCGCACATCAGTAACTGTATAAAAGTCACCTCTGCTTCTTCTTCCCTCGTCTCTCTCATTGATTGCTTTCGGAGCAGAGAGAAACTTATTACCGTTACTGCAAAACAAACAAGCTCTGATTCATTGCTTCAATGGCGATTCTTTAGCCACTTCTTCACGTTTCCGCATTTCCCGAGATTAGGGTTCGTCTTGTTTTCTTCTGAAAGTATCTGGGCGCTTTCTTCGAGTTTTGCGTTATTTGGGTTTCTCATTTTATCCTTTTAGAATCTCTGGATTTTGCGTATGATATTTATGGAAATTTCCCCGACGGCAAATCTAGTTTTAGGTTTTCTTTACTGAAAAGTGTTCTCTTGCTCTTCGAGCTGCAGAACTGTTCAAGTTTCGAGAAGAAACAGCGCGAGAGGGGGGAAAAGGTTCTACAGTTCAGATCTGGAAAGTAGCGAGGTCAGATTTTTTTTTCTCTAGCAGTACTATAGTTTAATCCTTCAATGGCGTTAGGGTTTCGCTTTTCGCATATAGTGTTTCAGAATTTCTAGGGTTTGGAAATTTAAATTAAAGATGGAGTGTATGGAAAACGACTTTCAGTTCGCCATTTTCGAAGCTGCAAGCTCTCTCTCTCTCTCTCTATATATATACACGTCCTATTCCGGGTTTGAATCACATTTTCGCTTTTACTTTTTTCTCCAACCATCTGTAAATCTAAATTTCCTGCGTTTTTTTTTCCTTTTTTTTTTTAAATTAAAGTGATTTTTGTTCACCATTTTTATTCTCATTGTCAATTTAGTTATATGGTCGATTTTCTTTTTGTCTCTTGTTCTTACATATTGTCTCTCTCCAGCTGCTGAAGATCCACACGAGAGAGAAAAAACATTACAAGGAGAAACAGCTCGTTTTTCCAATGAGATTCATGGAAGCTCGAAGGATTTTCCTGTGGACTTTCTGTTTGGGTTTGATTTTCTCGGTAGGAAATGCAGACCCAGTTGAAGATAAGCGCGCATTGCTCGAGTTTCAGACCATCATGAACCCGACACGGACACTGAACTGGAACGAGAGCTCCCCTGTCTGTAATATCTGGACCGGAGTCACTTGCAGTCAAGACGGATCACAGATCATAGCCGTTAGATTGCCCGGAGTTGGACTCAATGGTCAGATTCCTCCGAACACGATAAGCCGTCTCTCGGGTCTCAGAGTCCTCAGTCTCAGATCCAACCAAATCGCCGGTCAGTTTCCGGCAGATTTCGTCAACTTGAAGAACTTGTCGTTTCTTTACCTTCAGTTCAACAACTTCACCGGTCGTTTGCCGGAAGATTTTTCCGTTTGGACGAATCTCACGAGTGTTAATCTCGCCAACAACGGGTTCAATGGTACCATCCCGGATTCTCTCTCCGGTCTGAAAGATCTCCAGTCGCTGAATCTTGCAAACAACTCGCTTTCTGGGGAGATTCCCGATCTGGGTCTCTCTGGTTTGCAGCACATTGACCTGTCCAACAACAACCTTACCGGCTCCATACCAAAGTCACTCCAGAGATTCCCGACATCGTCTTTTGCGGGCAATGCTGGAATTTCGTCAAGCGAAACCGACACTCCTCTGGTTCCATCATCTAGTGCTCAGCCTCATCTGAAACCTAAAGCCCGTCTTCTGGGGATAAACCGGACAGCATTCTTATTGATCGTTGTTGTGGTTGGTGTTGTAGTAGTTGCAGTGTTGGGATTTGTGTTGATCCTTTGTTGCTCAAGAAGGAGGAAGTTAAGAGGTGATGAGGTTTCGGATAAGCTGCAGAAAGGAAACATGTCGCCGGAAAAGGTGGTGTCCCGGATGGAAGACAAGAACAACCGCCTGTCTTTCTTTGAGGGATGCAACTACTCTTTCGATCTGGAGGATCTGTTGAGGGCATCTGCTGAAGTTCTCGGCAAGGGAACGTTCGGTACAACGTACAAGGCTGTTCTGGAGGATGCGACTGCCGTCGTGGTGAAGAGACTCAAGGATGTGGGAGCTGGGAAACGAGAGTTCGAGCAGCAGATGGAGATCATCGGAGGAATTAGACACGAGAATGTGATGGAGCTGAAGGCATATTACTTCTCCAAAGATGAGAAGCTCATGGTTTATGACTATTTCAACCACGGCAGTGTCTCTTCTATGCTCCATGGTAAGTGGACAACAATGGTTGCTAATGAAATCTGGATCTGACCCTCTTTCTCTTGCCCTGACCATGGATATGTGATTGGATTGTGCAGGTAACAGAGGAGAGAACAGGGTTCCTCTTGACTGGGAAACCCGGATGAGAATAGCCGTGGGTGCAGCCAGAGGGATAGCCCGAATCCACGAAGAGAACAACGGGAAATTCGTCCATGGAAACATCAAATCATCAAATATATTCTTGAATTCTCAGGGTAGTGGCTGCGTTTCAGATCTTGGATTATCGGCCGTCACCAGCCCCTTGGCTCCACCAATATCCCGGCAGGCTGGTTATCGTGCTCCGGAAGTGACCGACACGAGGAAGTCTTCCCAAGCTTCTGACGTTTACAGCTTTGGCGTTGTACTGCTCGAACTGCTCACCGGAAAATCACCCATCCACACCACTGCCGGTAAGTTACAAACCAGGCGGATTCTGTCAAGCTTTTCTGATTTCAAATCTTCAAAATGGTTGTAACCTGGAAAAGTTTGAATCTTTGAATGGCAGGGGACGAGATCATCCACTTGGTTCGATGGGTGCATTCGGTGGTTCGGGAAGAATGGACAGCCGAGGTTTTCGACATCGAGCTTCTCAAGTATCCCAACATTGAGGAAGAGATGGTGGAGATGTTGCAGCTAGCAATGTCATGTGTCGTGAGGATCCCGGACCGGCGTCCGAAGATGTCTGATTTGGTCAGACTCATCGAGAGCGTCCGAATAGTTGGTCCCAAACCCGACAGAGCATCCGAGAGTTCAACACCTGCAGGAGCTTGAATCGAAAAAAAAAAATGAAGATCTGTTTGATTATTTGACGTTTTTTCTATACTACCTTGCTGCGGATACTCTCGAGTCTCGATAGAACTGATTCTCTGAAAACGTTTCCTTTTCAATTTTGAAAATTTGACTCATAGTGATCGCACTCTAAAGCTTTCGACAGAGGAATTTCCATTCATTGATCCAGCCTCGGTTATTATCACACAGAAAAATCAAATAGAAAGAAGAAAACACTCTGAATTCAACAGATTAAACATTTTCAAAAATAAATCCAATTAATCTGGAAGAAGAAACATTCGGGATTCGATATTTCGAAATTCAAAACGCACCTGGAAGACGAAGGCAGAGAGAAGGACGAGATGGGGATCAGACGGGGCTGAGGAGCTGGAAGAGGGAAGGTTTGGTTTGGGATCGGAGTTCATGCCGACGACGATGATGAGAGGGATGAAGCCGAAGTGAGAGACGACTTCGAGCTTCTTCTGCAAGACCGCGTTGTTGTCATCTTCCTCCGTAGATCCTCTCGCCCCCTTCCCTTTCATCTTAAGCGAAAACCCTCAACGCCATTGAAATCCCCTCTCTGATCTTCCTACGAGCTGTGTTTCCAATTTTGCGAGCGAACCACAAACTCCCCAAGGCTTATCACGTGGAACACACGTGCTCGTTCGTACTGACGACGAAGATGATGATGATGATGATGATGTTATCCGTATTTAAATAAATATTTTTTTAAGTCACATTTCTTTAAAATAAGGCACCAAAACGGTTTTGGGTCGTTAGAGAGGCGGGCTTTCCTGTATCACTCCCCTCAAATTTCTTTTTTCTTTTCTCCGTTCTCATTTTACTTGCAGTTGCAGTAGAAAAACTCTCTCTCTCTCTCCCTCTCTCGCTCGATCAGGTTGGTTCCGTTGTCCCTCTCTCGAATTCTCTTCTTTCTGATTGAATTTTCGGTTTCCATTCAAGTTCTGATCTCTCTGGTCACAGAATTTCTAGGTTTTGTGATTGTTGCTGGCGATGGCGTTGAAACGGATCGCCAAAGAGCTCAAGGGGCTGCAGAAAGATCTTCCTGCTTACTGCAGCGCTGGTAACAATCGGATTCTTCGTCTCTATTTCCTGTTTCTGATTCTCGATCTCGTTTGCGGCACGATTCCGCCATGTTTGCGTAGGATTTTTTGTTCTTTCTTTGTTATACTCATATATGAACTTTAGCTTGGTCATTTACCATGCTCATGGCTCGTCTTGTTTCAGAAACTTGCTCGTTCTTTATCATGAAGACTGGGTTTCTTTTGGTTCGTGGAGACTACGATGTTGTGTTTGGGTTGTATGCTGGTTTCCGCCTTTGAAGAATCGATTTTCTTCCGTTTAGGAGAAATTGAGAAACGAAATTTAACTGTTTGTGCATAATCCTTTTTTCAGTAGAAAAAAAATGTTAATTTCTAATGTTAAAACTCGAAGTTGGTTAATATTTCTGCTACATTTCCATCACTGTGTACAATGTTTTCAGTTTCTTGGAATGGCCAAGAATCGCTAGTGACAAATGTCCACGATTATGTGCTTGACCTGTTTTTTAACTGGAAACATTAACCAATGTCTGATATCTTTTCATAGCCATAACAACTAAGATGGAATTGACAAATATATTGATCAAGAACACGTTTCATCTCCTGGTTTTGTGGTAAACATGACAACAATCCTTAACTTAGACGAGCTTTCCTTCGTTTCGCTGAAATCTTGTTATGGAGGAGCCATTTTGCATACCGAGTCTGTTTATTTAGTCATTTTGCATTGGCATGCTCGTGGGTTCAAACTTTCAGGTCCAGCTGGAGAAGACATGTTTCACTGGGAAGCAACAATTATGGGGCCTGAGGATAGCCCATATGCCGGTGGAGTCTTTCGTGTCACAATTCAGTTTCCTCCCAAGTACCCTTTCAGCCCACCCAAGGTAGTTAGTTATATGTAACTCTTGACGTCTGAATCTGATCTCTTGTCTTGCCAGCAATTGTCCAGTTTCATTCTGCTGAATCTTTGATCTGTTCGGAATTACCTCTAAAAGGTTACGTTTAGGACGAGGGTCTATCATCCAAACATCAACAGCCGTGGTGACATCTGTCTCGACATCTTGGAGGACCAATGGAGCCCTGCACTCACCATATCCAAGGTACATTATCGAATTCCGATTGAATGTTTCCCTGACCTTTAGGAGTTCTATTTAGCAATAGCTTAGTAAGTGAAAACAGAGAAGATAGATGCTCGGGAGAAAACTATCTGATCAAAGAGTCCTTTTTGTTGCAGGTGCTGCTTTCGATATGTTCGCTGTTGACTGATCCGAACCCAGATGATCCATTGGATGGGGAGGCTGCCAGGATGTACAAATCGAACCGCAAGATGTACCTGTTAGCTGCCCGACACTGTACCGAGAAGTACGCCATGGGATAACAAAAAAAAAAAAAAACTGTCTGGAACAAAGATGATCAAAGGTATTACTCTACTTTTGCTCTATGATGGATGCTCTTGACATTTCTGGAACAAAAACATTTCAGATGCTTCCAGAAAATGATACAATCTCCGTGACTTGACAGTTGACACCTTTTCTATGTGATTCTTGACCAACCCGATTAAGAGAATCAATTAAGAGAATCAGTTCGATTCGATTCGGTTTGATTAGATTCGGTTTTGAAAAACAAGATAGAAAAAAATGGAACGCCTTAATGAGAAAAGCCCTCCACAATCTATATATGTAATGTATCAATATAGAAGAATAATCTTAGCCCACCTTTTAAACACAAGAGAGAGATACCCATAGCTATTGGGCTGAAGCCCAAAGTGGTATGTTGAACAATTGAATCCATGTTGAATTACATAGGTTGTGATGTTGAATTAGAGAGTTATATTGCAAAAGTTATAAAAACAAATACTCTTGTTTGTTTTTTTTTCTTGGCCTTTAATTATGTGGAGTAAAAAAACATTATTTTTATACGAGAATACAACAGTTGGGAAGTCCATTGAAATTAAACAATGCCGACAATCAGACAAGGGGAGTGAGAGCCCGTTGAATTATCCATTTTTATCCATCCGTATCCAATCTTCATGTGTGTGTAAAAGAACGATGGTAACCAAGGGGGAAAATGAGTTTCATGTACTTTTTGACCAATGGTTTCACGTCATTTGGTAAGCATTCACCCTGTGACATGACAGTTCTCCAACTCCAAAAACTAGAGTATTGTTTTTATCATATAAAAAATATATGTTATTCAAATAAATTGTTAGTAGTCAAAGGTTGTGTGGGTCCACTGCAGTCCCTTAAAATAAGGAGTCAAAAGAATACATTGTATCTCATTTTCCCATTAATTAACTGTCTCTTCGTTTTGGAACATAATAAGGGACAATACATTTTTTTTTTTAAAAAAAAGTAGTATATAATATATTATACAGATTAGAGGGTCTTAGGTATGATTATTTGTAAAGGTAACATCTTAAACACTTTCTTGTTCGATGTTTTTTTTATATGTTTATATGGAATCCTAGATATTTTTACCAACAAATTCATATGCTCTTAATCGTGTATATAAAAGTACATATATAATTATATGTAATACTAGACAAGATTTCAAGCGTATGCTTTTTATAAGAAGCATCTATATATTTTATTTAAGGAATTCATATCAACATATTTTGATTTAAAAAAGGTATATAACATTATCACTTACTATTTAAAATTTAATTATATTTCCTTATAATTACATTTTCCATAGTAAATATTTAATGCCGATTACAACGAGAATAAGGGAAAAAAAGGCTAGCTGTAAAGATTTTAAACATAGTTTAATCAAAATGATTATTATTTTATGTGAACCATTCCCACCCTTGTCTCTTTCTCCTGTATTTCTAAAAAGTTTTCAGAACCCTTCACCAAAAACAAAGTTTTCAGAAGGTAATTACTTCTAACTATTTTATAACGGAAAAAAAAATCTTTATTTGATATAAAATATTGTGAAAAGTAAAAATTACAAACATTTTTAAATTTGGATTATTGTTAACTAATTCACTAATAACCATTTTATATATAACGTTGCACGTGTTAACCGAACATTGTGGTATTAACAGAATTATTTAGATGAAAAGAGGCCGACACCGACAAGAGGGTCGTGAGGAAGTGTGTTGGAAATTAAATGATTTGATTATTTAGTTCATCAATTAATGATAATAGATTAACGAGATTTGTCCTCACTTCGAGACAAAAAGGAGTGACAATCACTTGCATGCTCACTCCCCCACCTCTCCACTCCACTTACATAAAATTTTTAATCCAAATTATTGTTATTTTTTTAAATCTAAAAATGATACGTTTATATTTTTATAATCATTATTAATTAATATCACTCTTTTTATAAGAAAATGGTATTATGTTTACCATAAGTTATTTTTAACCATGCATCTTCATACACATTCATAATATTTTTATAATCCAAAATATTGTTATTAATCTAATAAAATGTGAAATGTGTATGAAGATGCATGGTTGAATTAATAAATATATATTTTGAAATAACTTATGGTATTCTATATATATAATCATTTTCTCAAATCCTTCAAGAATACCATAAGTTGAATTTTAGTATATAATTTAACAATGCACCTTCATACACATTCACATTTTTTACTAGATTAATCGTCTAAAACTATATGTCCCATATATATATATGTTTCATTATATGCTTATACAAATAAATTCACACAAAAATTTACATATGGATACTATAGCTAATCTTACTATATTCACTGTCGTCGTCGGACTCATTTAAATATTTAATAATAGATAAGGATTTAAATTTCTCGTTGTCACTTTGTTATACGAATGAAGAATTTGATTCGTGTCAAAATATAATATATTATTACAAACCTTGAGTGTATGAGTACACTATCTTCATTGAGGTGGTCCGTCCCATTTCGAATCGCCGCTTAGACATATGCTTAAAACTTTTTGTCATATTATAATGGTTAGTTTAATTTATACTTTACATGATTCTACAACTCATAATTCCTGAATCATAGACATTTTTAGTTCTAATCATTCCACTAATCATGCACCACCTACTATTAATATAAGCTTTATTTTATGTACCCAATATTTCCAGTATCTCAAAATAAATAAATAAATAAATATATGGGGGCTCTTTAAAGTTATCCTTGACATAAATTCCCTACACGGTGAAATATGAAATAAAAATTTCACATGCTCGTAATACACCATATTTTTTTATTTAAATTTTGTACATTTCAATATCTCTTTTTTTAATGGATTCAAATAAATAAATAAATAAATAAGAGTCCAACATGGATCATACATTTAGTACATGGTTATGTACCTAGTTACCGCGTATATAATTGCAAAAACATCAAACATACACCTATCAATATTAGGGGTGGACATTTCGGTTCGGTTCTTCGGAACCGAACCGTTCTGAACCAAAATTTTTGGTATTTTTTTCGAACCGTACCGTTTAAAATTCTCGAACGGTATGATTTTTATAGAACCGAATTTTTCAAAACCGAACCGAACTTTATAAAATTCCTGAAAAATCAAAATTTTCTTAAGAAAATCTAAAATTTTTTAAACAAAAACTGAACCGTACCGAAACCGAAACTGAACCGATCCGAATAATATACGGTACTAGTTTTGCACAAATTTTAGAATACCGAATAAATCATTTCTGAATCGAACCGTTAAAATTCCGATGTGAATCCCGAAATGTCCATCCCTGATGAATATGGTGTCAAATACATTAAAATGATGAATATGAAAGAACCCATTAACTGCAAATACCTTGAATATTACCTTATTTAATGATAAAAACAATGTTATCATTAATAATTTGTTGGAATTTGATAGGGATAAAATTAGAAATTATTGTAAAAAAATGTTTTGAAAATGTAGAATAACAAATATTTTGAAACATGGAAAATAACTTAAAACTATAAATATTTTGAAACGGATGGAGTATTAAACAAACATATCATACCGCAAGTGATGTCCAAGTTGTTCTTATTTTTTTTAATAATTAATTGTGGTTTAATTTAATATTAAATTCCATAATCCAGGCTTTCAGCAACAATGAAGCACTTTTCAGTTACATACCCTGGCCCATTAATAGACTCATATAATGATAATTGAATATAAAATATATAATCATACAATACTTATTATTAGAATACAGCTAATATAATAAATAAGTTTTATCATAAAGGCTAGCTTACCGTTTGCGTTTCTGTATATAATATTACGTGGAAAATGGTGTGTAATAATAACTAATAAAATTTCGATGGATTATCGTTATCATAAGCGCTTGTGATTACGTAATGATTGTTGCATGGAACGAAAGCACTTTCCATTTTCTTTTCTTCTATATATTAAATTATTTATCATTTTCACAAACAAATCTGGCGTTTTTTTTTTTTGTGTCTCTTTCGTATAGTTTCAAAAAATAATTATCGGACTTCTCAATAATTGCGTGGCTCAATGTTACATATAGGGTTTGCTGCTTATTTTGAAAATGTGTTTTTTTAGAAAATTCGACGTTGACGTTTGAGAACAGTATAACATATACAACCTACACATTTCGTGTATATACTATAATTATATTTTTAGGCTGTTTAACAATATATATATACACACACGTTTAAGCTACATATATAATTTGTATTGGTTTTCTGGATCTAATTGTTAAATGATTATCCACTACCTTTGAAATAATCTACGGTAAAAAAAAATGTGTATTTAAATATTGCCGAAAAAAAATTATATATAAGATCATGAAAGTCGAGAAGAGAACAAAAGGAGAAATGGTTTTATTGACTTATCGTTATGATTCAATTTGTGACATAAAATATACTTTAGCCCATTTATAAATGCATCGCAAAAATGAATACTATATAATAAATTTATCGTATACCAATCAACCCCGGAGGTAATAACTTAATTTCCCATGTAAAACAGAGCATCTACTTTTTTACTTAATAGCTAGAAATTAAAAAAATTATGAGAAATATACTAATATTCGATTATCAGTTTAATCATTAAAATATTCATAGTATTATAAATGACACTCAAAAATTAATTTAGACAGTTAATATTTTGATAAGAATTGGATGTTTAATACACAAATTTGTTATTATTTGATTTGTATAAAAAAAAAATGCCAAACACACTCCGCGTTCAAGGCACTTTGTCATTCACATGAAAATGTGCAGTATAAAATCAAAATTTAAAACCAAAAGACAAAAAACATAAATTATTAAAAATATATTTAATTAATAATCAATGCAATCATACAAAAAGAAAAGAAACACTCAGGTTTAATGATTTTTTTTTGGGCTTATTGTCCTTGGGTTGTCTGCCACGTCAGCACCCAAGCTGAAAAAACGACACGAAAGGGTAAAATGGTAAAAAGAATTATGCCGTAACTGTTTATTACTCTCTACTACGGGCAACTTGCCCGGCTTGGAAATGACCAAAACACCCAGTGGCTAAATGGAGAGAGTTTCGCACGGGGACTTTGGACTAAAGAGTTAGTTACGGTAATTAGGTGCCGTTAATTATTTTTAGTAATTAATTCTGTCAAAAGTAGGACTAAACCATCTCCGGTGTCACGTGACCTGAATCCCTAATTACGAGCAAATTTAAAAAATAAAAAAATGAAATCCAAAATATGTTTTTTTTAGGGGTGCTCCAGCTGGTCAGTGAATGGCACGTCCAAGCCGTTGGATTGGACCTAATCTTCAGGACCCATAATCCACGTGTCGAAATCTGATAAGTTTGACTAATGCGGCGGTCCTGAACTGCCGGGAAATATCTGCGCCGTTAACGCCGTCGAAGTTTTTTTTTCCCAACAAAGAATATTGATATTTCGCAATTTTAGTTTATAATTTTTTTTATTGTAAGACATTGTTTTTTTTTTAAAATTATTTTCTTATTTGACATTGTTTTTCTTTAACATTAGGATCTTAGTTTAAAATCCATGTTTCTGAATTTTCTTGAATTTATCTTCATTGACTCTCATTTATACCATTGACTGAATTTTCAATGGCTTTGTGACCGAATGTTATAAAAACACGATCACTGTCATGTAATTTTGACGTTACAATTTATTTTTTTATATTTAACTAATGTTAACGTTATAATCAAACAAACCTAAATTGGACAAGTGTTTTTCATTCGTAAGCATTGGTTTCTTTAAACAAACCTATAGTGTAGTAGTTTTTTTAAGACTATATTTTTTTCCTTTGTATGGCATTTTAAAAAACACAAGATCTGGATAAAAATAACTTTTTTTCCTTTGTGGTATAATATATTTTTTAAAAATAAAAGAGGGAGAAGATATTTGATTTATTCAAAAAAGAAAAGGAGGATTAAGTGGCAAAAGAAGCGGGTTAATTAAACGCCGTTTTGGGATCCTATAAAATAGTCTCTTTTTCGTCTAGTGGCTCTTCTCTGCTTACATTTGCTCTGCCGCTTTCCTATCTTCTCCTTCTTCTTCTTCCTCTCTCTCAGCCCTTTCTGAAAAAATTTTCTGGGAATATTATCCTACTAAAGAAACCCCACGCTCGAGCCTGTTTTCCCATACAAGAAAAAAGCATCTTCCTCTTTTTATTTCTCGGTTAACAAACAGGGTTTGTGATTCCATTGGCATACGCAAAAAGCTCTGTCTTTTTTTTCCCCTCTCTCGGGTTTTTCTTTTCTTTCTTCATTTTTTCAGCTTTCCGGGAAAATCTTCGCTTTCTCACGTCTCTCCTCCTTCACTGCGAGTATACCCACTGAGACGGTGAAATTTATCTCTCACAGCTTTCCGTACCTCGCGCTCTCTGCTTCTCGTTGCTTTGCATGAAATTTCTCGTCCTTTAATAAAACTTTTGCAGAGCATCAGCCATCTCTCTGTCTCTCCCCCTTCTCGTTCAAGTTTCTTCTTTTCATTTCTTTCTTTATTCTTTGTCTCCCTCCTTTTCCCCTTTCTGAAATCTCCCTTTTTTGCTTTCAATGCTTCTCCCAACTCTCTGATATATATATTTAGGAAACAGAGCCATACATACACAGTCACAGTCACAGTCAGAGATCCTGTTTGGATAGCGAGAAAATGGAAACGGAGAAGAAAATTGTTCTCCCGAGAATCAAATTCACAGAGCACAAAATCAACAGCACCAGAACCTTACCCACAACCTTGGATTTCAACCAACCCAGAATCATACGCATCTCCGTCACCGACCCAGACGCTACGGATTCCTCCAGCGATGAAGACGACAAAGAACATGAAATCCCCAGACGGCGTCGTGTCAAGAGGTTCGTCAACGAGGTCGTGCTCGAACCATTCTCCATGAAGGCCCTCCGAGGTTTTGAAGGGACGAGGAAGAGACGGAAGACGACGGCAAGAGACTCCGGAAAAGCCGCAGCTCCGGCGACGGCTGAGAAGAAGTTCCGCGGGGTGAGGCAACGGCCGTGGGGAAAATGGGCGGCGGAGATTAGAGATCCACTGAGACGTGTACGGCTCTGGTTAGGCACCTACGACACTGCGGAGGAAGCCGCCATGGTTTACGACAACGCCGCAATCCAGCTCCGTGGCCCCGACGCGCTCACCAACTTTGCCACTCCTCCGCCGCGCGCGGAGGCGGAGACGGAGACGGAGAAGCCTCCACCGGAAAATACCGAGGACGCCTTCGCCGTTACTAGCAGCAGCTTCGGTCTCTGCTCACCGGTGTCTGTTCTCCGGTCGCCGTTCGCCGTCGATGATTCCTCAGGGACGATGTCAGCGGCGGGGGGGCCGGAGGCGGAGGCCGAGCCAGAGACAGGGCCGTCGACCACCGTGTCGGAGACGTTCTCCGACTTTTCGGCGACGTTCCCAAACGACGACATTTTCGATTTCCGGAGTTCGGTGCCCGACATTTTCGGCGGTGATATCTTCAGCGATGATCTTTTCTCAAATACGGGTACGGGTTTGGATCTCGGGTTCGTATTCGGGTCGAGATTCTCCAGCTGGCACGTGGAGGACCATTTTCAAGACATTGGGGATTTATTCGGGTCGGATCCTCTCCTCGCGGTTTAAATCGAAATACCATTTAATTAACCGACCGTTAACCGGAGGCGGATTTTTGTACCGGTGGTAGCTTTGAAAATATCGGCGATGTTTATGGTTTTAGTTTTGTTATATAACTTAAATTAAGTTAAATTAATGTAGTTAATGGCGATATATTAAATATAATTAAGTCCGTCCGGCACGTAACGGTGCGTTGGACGAGTTTCCTTTTACTTCCCACGTTCGTGTTTTACGAAATTACTTTATTTCCGCATTTTTTTTATATAAAAAATCTCGGCTTTTGGTCGTATCGTAGCACGTGTTGGGAACAATTGAAAAGCTTCTTAAAATTTAAATTTGGTTTTACTAAGATAAGATTACACGTGCGAAGAATCTAATCTAAGCAAGTGTCTTGAATCATTCGAACTCTTAACATTGCATGCAGTTTATGTCCATCTCCAAATGACTTAGCTAACTTGCATATACTAATTTAGAAAGTTAACAATAATCTTTTAATAAATCTAACTACAGACCATGTTGGTGTGTATCTTTGAAGCTTTGCTTGATAAATAAATACATATAAATTTAAACCAATCCCATAATATTAGAAAAAAAAAGAAGATAAAATCTCGTTGCTTTGATATTTGGAACATTCAAGAGATATTTTCGGGGTTTTGTTGTGTGTGTGATGTGTTATTTATCATAATATCATTTTTAATTCTACAGAGAATTAAAAAATATGACCATTTTATTTTAAAAAAAAAAAAGAAAAAAGAAAATAAAATGTTATATATGCAATATTTAGATAGTTCTTATTATTATTTTGTATAAAAATGTTACTATAATTTTAAACATCACAATGTTCATTTTTGGGAAATCAAATAGTGGGACTGAATCGGTGGTTTGAACAGACAGGAGATATAATTGCATTTCGGATCAATTCTAAATGAAAGCCTTACAGAAAAGACCTTGAATTTATTTGATTTTCAGTGTATTTGTAAAATAATAATCTCAAATATCATATCCTATTTTTTAAAAAAAAAACATACTCTATCATTGATTTTTTTGGGGCAATTTAATAAAACCAAAATCAATCTATCATCATCTAAATTGAAAACAAAAATAGATAATAGATATTTGAATAAAATTTTATTAAAGATTATTATTAGTAGGTTATTATTAGGTTTCTACTGAAAGAAATGCATATTTTATTTTATTTTTTGGTAAATGAAATATGAAAATAATAAATAACTAAAGACAATTTATACGACGGTTTTCTTAGAAATACCACGGATCCAACGTTTAAAGGGGTAAAATATAACGACACGTAGGCATGAGCCGCAAGAGCAACGTTATGTCACTTTCCCAAAGATCTCTTCCTCTGCCCACAACGAGACACGAGTATGCTTCACTCTCGGACTCCTTTTATTTTTATTTTTACAATTTTTAATTAATAATAAAAATTTAAAAGTAATGAAATTCAAAAAACTATTTAAGAATAAGCTTGCAAGTCACTGGTTAAAAATACACGTCCGATTTCATATTAATCATAAAACATACATATTTGTATAAAAACACACACAATGATATTTAGATATTCTCTCAACAATTTGTCTGTCACTTTGAGAGGTGACTAATTGCTAATTACATCTGAAATGAATGATATACGAATATTAATATAATTGAATATTGTTTTTTTTGTTAGTAGAAACAAAACAAATTGGTGTTTTATTTTGTTTGAAATTTCAATTTGAATGGAGAGAATCTAAAGGGATATGAACATTATGAAGTATTAATGTGTTGGGTCCCCTTTAGGTCCATTGTTCATGAGAAATGTGTGAATATTCATGCATGAACAACAAGGGAGTTATTTTCTACTAGTACAATCTCTAGTACAATTCGGGGAATTTTGAAAAGAAAGAAAGAGAATAATATAACTGATGTATATATGCATATATATATATACATGTGATTGTGTATATATTTGTGCAGTTTATTAAATTTTATTTGTCTTATTTTATTTTATTTTATTTTTCTTTCTAATGTAAAAGCTTGGATAATATGGTATCTGTTCTGCTGTGATAGCAAATTATAATTTCAGTTTACCATATAATTTAAATTATCACACCCATAATGTTTTCCATGAAATACTTAATTAAATAGATTATTTAATTTACTTTAATATTTACAAAAATTTATATTTATTTTTTTTGTGTTTTAAAATTTAATATTATAATATTTTTTTAAGATAATTTTTTTTGTAAGAGATGTTTTTACAAGAGTTAGAATCTCAGCCGTCCACGTCCCACCGCATGGGTTGACTCTAATCTGCGACTCAGCTGTGGACGGTCATTTTTTTTATGAGCTTAATTGGTTTAATCGATGATTCGATTAAAAAAAAACAATTATATAAAACTGAGAACCGGACAAACCTGCCGGTATGGAGTGGATTGGTTAATATGGACCGGTCGTCCACGTTTGCAGGAGCACGGATCTAGAAGAAAGATTTATTACTATATAATTGGATATACTTCTAAAATAATAAATTATAAAATATTCCTTGTAGTAATATTTAAATTTCAGATTGGTAAAACGATGTGATATAGACGCAATTTCTAAAATAATAAATTATACACTAGAATTTTATTTTAAAACATTATATTTAATTAAATTGAAAAGGGAACTAATTGATATATATACATACACAGTGACAGTAATATTAATTATAAATAAAAAAAATACTTAATAGTAGTAGTGATATAGATGCAATTTCTTTTTTGTAAAATAATCCCTGATCCCACAAAAAAATATATATTTAACACTTTATGGAAAGGGTGTCAACACATTCATAAGTATGTTTTTTTAAGTTTTTTTTTCGTTGTTATTGTTTTTAACATTTATAGAAAAATGATTTGAACACTACTCGTAAAGAAATGATTCATTTCCTAGTGGCCCATTGTAACCATGCAGCCATGTAAGATAGTTTCAGTCCACCGACAAAAACCTTAGTATAATCATAATTTCATTTCATTCAGACATTTAACATTCACAACCGAGGAAGAGACTCGAAACATGATCGCAAGATGCGTGAAACAATGTCTCATGAAATGTGGCAGAGATCAATAAATAAACTACGCCCCCACACATGCATTCATTTTTAATGTTTTCTATCCTTCACGTAAACATTCTCGTGTTCCTTCCCATGCATGCATGCATGCGTCTCGCTCTCACCCCTTTATCCTTAAATTACCCTCCAACAAAATTTTTTATCCGTGCCACTAATGAATTTTAAAAGAGGTAAATATAAAATCGTATGTTTTGTTATATTTCTTATAGTGTACTGTTTACGCATATTTTGTATATAGTTGATCATATATTGGAAATTCCTGCTATATCTCTTCTACTTGTAACTAGGGTTCTAATTATTCAATTAATTAATCAAGCATATTTCGACATACATTTTCAAAAAGCTTGTTTCATTTTATTTTCTATTAGTCACACTCCGGAAATTTTCATTATATTTTAGGCTGTTATGGTAATGAAGGTTTGTACATATTTAATTATATGTACCGAGATCTTCGTACGATTTGTTTCCATTCGTATTCGATATCATATGCTCAAATCAAATGTTGGCATGTAACTCGATATAGATATCGTGATTTTATCTCTTTATAAAAATGTCTTAAGCCAGAGAAACTATAATAATAAATATCAAACAAATATAGCAACCGAAAGAGATATATATTTGTGGACTGTTATAGGGCATTTATGATTATTTTTTTTCTGTTAATTTTATTAAAATATTTTGTTTGTCACAAGTGAGTATGGGCTTAAAGATAATCTTAAATGGGCTTACAAAGGCTTTCAATTAAGAGCAGGGACTTTTTCTCACGGCCCATATTGTAGACTTGGTTGTTCTCTGACACGTGGCACATCTGTCATGCACACCGACGCGTGATCTTGTCAGAGCCCAATGACCCAGCAGGCTTTGTCGGCTAGTACTTGGTACTTTTTTTTTAACGGTTTTACGGCTGCCGCGGTTTCTTCCTGTCTCCGTTTTCTCGTTCTTTTCTTGGCCTGCGCAGAACCCTAGAATTAGGGTTTATTCCCTTCGATGGAGAAAAAGCTTGAGCAGCCAATATGCGGCCAAGAGGCCGTGGATCTTCTCAACTGCGTCACGGAAACGCCGTTCGATCAAGAGAAATGTTTCCGCCTCTTGCAGTCTCTCAGAGAATGTGTTCTCGCTAAGGTCCGTTTTCTTCTCCAGAGTCGTTTGTTATTCAACTGCTAAATCGAACTTGAGTAATCATATTGTCCACATGTTTTCCGACGTTTTCAATTTACTGTTGTTTTGTCGGATTTCTATGTGATTTCTTATTTTTCTAGTGGTTTACATCGTAATCGCAATCGACCTTCGGTTTGATTTTGATTTTGTTGATTAGAAATGCAATTGTGGAAGATTTTATCTGAAATTTACTGAGGTTGTTTCGTCGATTCTAGGAAAAGCGTGCATCAGAATTTAGATTTAGTGTTAACGAATATCATCGTGTTAGTACATTTTTCGTTCAGGTAAATGATTGTTGCGATATCGATCTCGTATGTTCAGGATTGGTGAACCTTAACTATTGGATTTAGGCCAGCTACAGTTATCACTAGGCAATGTGGCATAGTACAGAACGTGTATCTAACATAAAATTTAAGGTTCCTCTTTGTGGATGCACCTCTTTAGCATAAAATTTTCTACACCAGATGTGGATTATCTGAACCCTTAACCGAGAAATCAATCTTTAATGTAATAGCTGGTCTGGTCTATCTTCCCAGGAGCATATGGAATTCTCTAGACTGATGGAGAATGCTAGTCATTTTTGTGATTGTTTGATTGCTACAAGTCTAAATGGATATAAATTATGAATGATGATGGATAATGATTTCATATAAGTCTAAATGGATATAAATTGTGATGGAGAATGGGGATATGTAACATTGTGTGTTCAAGGAAGGCCGTGAATAGTGAAGAGGAAGATTGATACGTTTGATACTTTCCTGGCGTAGTGAACTGAAATGATATGTTTGTTTTGGCTTAAGATATGTGTTTCTGTAATGCTAAGTTATGGTAATCAGTTTTTTATTTTTTACAATGCTGAACGTTCATTACTGGCATATTTGTTGATCTCACTTTTGCTTACTCTCGAGAAACTGTTGAATGATCTTGGATCCTTGAGAGCTGAAAAACATGTCTTATGTTGAAGAGATAGGATTGGTTGCCCAAGTTCTTACGAGGAAGACTTGGAATAGTCTAAGCAAAAAATCAATTCTTCTCTTTTGTGTTTTAGTCCTCTTGAAACAAAGATAGGTAGCCGGTATTACCAGTCATCTTCTTCCCATGCTGTTAACTTAACAATGTGTTTTGTTGTTTTAATCGTTTGAGAATACATGTGAAAAAGACATATTAACATAATCTAGTTATAGACATGTTGTCGTTGAGTCTTTCCATGGTTCTGTTTCCAAAGAGTTTAAGTTTGTTGAATGTCTAGGATGTGGATGAATTCCGAGATGGGTTTAGAGTATGATAAGAGACTGGGATCCAGAGGTCATATGACTATTCAGATATCAACTGGGGTTCTGTAGGTTCTCTTTGAATCGTGCAAGACAATGGGTCGGGACATGGAAATCTCGAGAGGGTCAAATAAATCGTTTGCATATAGTGAATCGGTTACCATTTATGTTTAGTTTTCCTCCAGATAACAAAAGGGGTGTGATCAATTGGAAACATTTATACTGTTTTTGTTATTTTCGTGACAGAAAGTGAAGAAGTTTTCGGTACCGACTCAAGACAACGGAGGAGCATCTTCAGCTAGCAAGAGACCCTGACAAATATGATATTCTTTGGGGTAAATTTTCATTTTGTAAGAACAGGGAATATAACCCCTGGCGAGAGAATATGTGCGCTTCAAAGCTGATAAACAAATGATCGTAACTAGTAGGTGAAAACATGGAAAATGTTTGTATGCTTAAAGAATGGAATTCTTTGGACCGAAGGGCTTTGATTTTTAAACAAGCTTCAAAATGCCTTTCATACTGGGGCCTGTCTGTAGTCCACACGTTGACTGAAGGATATACATCCATACTCGCTATAAACGTTCGTTTTGGGGGCAAAAAAGCATAAAATAGAAAGAAAAAAAAATATGTATCTACCTATCTGCAGATTAAGTACACTAAAAATAATTTAGAAGCCAAAAAATATTATATAAAAAAAAAGATGAATGCAGTAAAATTCTTCTCCACTCTTCAACAAAATTTTGGGGAACAAAAGGGTGATGGGACGATTACATATCAAAACGGAGCTTAGAAAGTATAAAAGACCTTTTCTTGGTGCAGGAGATTCGCCTATATATATATACACACACACACATCGAAGACTATGGGGCGAATTTACATCTCAAAACGGCATGTCGTAGTCTTCAGTTCTCCTCGTGACACTCTTATCCCCACCACTGATACTGCTGTTACTACTACTGCTACTCTGATTACTGTATGAATCTCCTTGAGAGAAAACTCAGGATCTGACTCCACGCAAAGAGAAAACTTCAAAGCTCGTAACTTTCTTGCCTCAGAACTCGATCTTGATACATTCCTCTGTTTAGTGTTGTCTCCTTGCATCTTTCGCGGGTTCGAAGCCTGCTCATTATTTTTTGGACCCATGCCCTCCCTGACAGAGTATACCGCATGATTTGAGATTGTACCGTTTTGAGGCATTGGGGGTGTTGTGTTGGAGAAGAGGGATCGTCACCTCTCAGCTTCTGCAGTAAGTTTACTCAGACTAACTCCAGGACTTTGATAGACCCATTTGAGCTAGCAGCAACAACCATATTCGATCTTTTTCTCCAGCAGACGCTCGACACGAATAGGCCATTGTCATCATCAATCTCCTTGCCCGAAATGGTATCGATTGAACCAAACTTGTAGGAAGTGATGGGCATAGGCAGAGATCGGTGATAGGCATAAACCTGACCATGGACAAAAACACAAAGGAATCAACGTTCTCAATCAAATGGATTTAGAGAAGAATTGCGACAGGAACACGCTTATTGAACCAACAGTAGATATCTCATAGTGATTTAGTTATAATATATGTGGGGTTTTCAAAGCAGCTCATCAATGGAGTCATTTATACAGGAAAAACATTATTCACATGGATATAGTACTTGTCTTATGGAAAAGAAGTAGACCCAGAGCTACTGAACAAGTTGAGAATCAAAATCTCTCAGTCTATGCTATTGTTTTGGTTCTACAGGCTATTTGATGACATGAGAGGGATGATTTGTCGAAGAGATAGGATAGCAATGGAAGATTCGGAAGAGACTGTAATATAGGAGTATCAAGGTTTTCCCTGAGTTTACGTGGGGCATACCTCGTTTGTCTCCGAGCCACAAGCTATATACCCATCGGCAGTAGACAGACCGACAAAGTTCTGGAAAAAGCAAGATTGCCATCATCACCCGTGAAAAAAACAACAGAAACTCAGGTAAAAGTAAATTCCAGCCCTTGATTACCGACCTTCTCATTGGCATGACCAGAAAATGTTAAGCCACAAGCATTTGTGGAGAGGCCGCCATGAGTGGTCCTCTTAAGATCCCAAAGCTTTAACGTGTTATCAGTTGAGGCAGTTAAAAGGGTTTCGTGATCTAAGAATTTTGCATAGCTAACTGCTTTGTTGTGTCCTGACAATATGCACCAAGGACCTCTTAAATTGCGAAGATCGTAACAGTAGGTTCTGTAATCTGCTGATCCAAATGCCAGTAAATGAGAGGAGTGCGGAGAAAATTGCACACAACAAACGTTTGCAATGTTCCTGATTGTTCCTAAGCAGTTCCTCTGCACCGTCAATGCAAGAAATGGTGAATTAGCTATAAGGCTTAAAACACTGTAATAACAAGAAAACAGCTCCAAATGCTATATACCTATGCATACGAACCAGAGATCTCAATAGAAGTGGGCATTAAAAAAAAGCAAACTATATAAGCGTGCATGAATGTAAAGAACATGCCTCGTTAATGTTCCACAGCTTCACTGAACAATCATCACTTCCGCTGGCTAATTTTGTTGGGCACACTTGAGAAAAGTCAACAGACCAAGCCCTCTTCTCGTGCTCTATGAAATGTGAAATGGTCTGTCCCGTTGTCACATCCCACAACTGGATTCATCACAATATATTTGTACTTATGAGACAGAAGATAACTAATAAAAACAATAAAATGATTTTAAAAAAAAAACCTTGAGAGTACCTTGACAATACCATCATAATCAGAGGAAGCCAGGTAGTTCCTGATATAGCCGTTCCAGCAAACACTGCTAAGCCTTGATCTATTCGGCATTTCGATGGCTGGGTAATGGATATCAACAGAATTCTTGAAAATGGAATTGAACTCAAATATTTTGATCTTCTTTGATACTCCAGCTGCGGCAAAATAATCTTCGTCTTGGTCAAAACTCAGAGAACAAATTACGTTCGCAGTGTTGTTGAATTCACCAGTCCTCAGCATACCCCGAGTTTCAAACTTATTATATCGAGCATACTTGCACAACCCATCAAAGAATGCTCCAACACGATCATTTGCGTGTTGAATCTCCATATTTTCTTGTTCCGAATTAAAATTGCCACTATTTCTCAGCAAATCTCTATCTGGTCGAGAGGCATGATGTGTTCCAGGGAGATGGGCACGTGTCCTTGCTGAAAAATAAGCGCTTTCAAGCTGATGAATGTTATTGATCAGTCGCATTTCAGGTTCACTAGAAGCGGGAGGTGAACTATAAACTTCCTCTGTCGACAGAGGCCTTATAGCAGAACGTCTTCTACCAATCTCTTCGATATCTGCTTCTAAGCATGCGATTTCTTCCATCCGATTTGTGGCATGCTTCTGCTTTAGCTCTTGGGCAGAAACAAGAAAATGCAGCAACAATTCAGATTCAGTGTCCTCTTGTTCGATAGATAAAGATAAGCCTTCAGCATACAGGTCCTGAATTCCATTTACCACTTCAGATCGTATGATCTCCCTGATCCAAAAAAAAAAAACAAAAAAACAAAAGAGCTTACAGAGTTTTAATGATTGAGCCAATTCTTGTTGCCAGGTAAATGAGAAACAACAGAATCTGACTATCAAGACATAAGCAGTGCTCCTTGGTTTTAAAGATTATGTACAGAATTATACACTGAGTCCAATCTGAATCTTCTATCAGCTTACAACCAGAACCAGGAAAAGAAAGCTCTGCGCTTGTTGCGGTTTACATTTGCAGACTAAACTAAGTCCAATAAGTATGCTGATAGTTCCCTACGACAAAAATTAATGTCTTGCAAATAATCATACACAGAAAAACTTTAATGATATGCTTTATACAACTTGAAGATTAGTGTAGCAAAAGAATTTGCATTACCTGGTCGTTGGCCTGCATGAAGGTTCTGGATGAAGTAACCATAGACAAAACCCAGCTTCCTTTGGATTCTCTGATAAAAAATGTGGAGGAAGAATCCGGTGTCGGATATCAGACATAGCAGCCTCACGTGCTCTCTCGGAGCCAAAACGACTTAATAGCTGAAGTAAGAATCCAACTTAGTACATCAGCGATAATTATTTGCCAGACCAAGAAACGTCAGAAAAAGGGATACGTTAACCCTATGACCTAAGCGGTCAACCATAAAGTTAGCTATAAATTTCACCCTTGGTATAAAAAATAATGAACATGCAACAACATTAATGTCTATGTGATAATCCATGGTGAAGAAAGATGTATTTATTAGTAGAATCGAAATGCCTATTAACATAAATCAAACTCATACAGGAGTTGTAAAAGGTAAACATAAATGTTGCAATAAACATCTAGTATAAAAAATTATAGAAGCAAAAACAATGACCTATTTGTGAATTGATCAAGCTCATACATACAGAGCTAATTGAAGAAATCATGTCATAAGACTATATCGAAACATATCAACAATAAGGGGATATGCTGTTTCACAATTCGAACTCATACATATGTTCTAAAGTGTGGACCAGAAGACACAAGTGCAGATATCATGACAAGTCCAATTAATAGAAGCTTCTCCATACCTCAAAAAGAAGAATACCCAACCTATAGATGTTTGAAGATGCTGAGCAGATGTCACCCCTGAGCTCCTCGGGGCTTGCATACCATTTCTCTTCTAACTGCCCCATCATGGAAGTAAAGGGACGGAAAGCCGTGCCAGATTGAGTTTGGCCAAACCTGATAGGAAACCCTCGAGTGTCGTTGCTATCATTTTCTGATCGGATATTGACGCTCCCATGACGAAATATAGGCCGCTGACTAGAGCTTGCATGATCATTTGACTTTTGCTTCTTCACAAGAATAGAGGTACTAGAGTGCAAACCCATATCTATTGATCGTTTTCTAACAAGAGGGTTTTCCATGTGGCAAAGAGTAGCTTTATTTGTGTTGTTGTCAAAAGATTCTCCCTCGGAGCTTGTCCCCACATACTTGATCCCATTTTCCTTGAACATTTTGAATGAAGACGGCCGTAGGTCACACAAGACAACTCTTTCAGAATGAGAGTGGTCCACAAGATCCAGAATCTGCCTAAAGATATACAAACACACATTTTTATTTACTTTGTGGCGCTCTGACTGTAGCCACTCTCTCAAAGTCAAACCTTCCCCTCCACACCCTCTATGCCTCACTGAGATGTCAGCACAAGAAGATGACTTACTGGCTTTTGATGGTGAGCATGGCGAAACATCATAAGCTACCAAAGGGGCACTGGTAGAAACTTTTACTGGAGCATTAGAAACGACTACAGTATTACCAGAAGTACTTGGATTTTGATGCTCAAGACTAGTAGCTTTATATCTACTGTGCGGCGGCCCTTTAAATATGACCCCTTTTCCTTTCAATGTTGTTTTAACAAAAAACTGAGAGAACCCGGACTGCGATAAGATCTTTGTCTTGAGGCTCCCATGGGACAATGCCTCTTTTGGTACAACATTCCTGTCAACATTCATGAAATATTCATTTGCTTCATCATGCTTAGAACTGCTTAATTCTCGAGCTGAAGACTCGGGAAAAGGCATTTTTCCTGCATTTAGCCAGATACCCGGAGTCACCTTGTTGGTTCCCTTCTTACTCTTAGAACTAGTACTAGATGAACCACCACCTGATTGAAAAGGATGCTGAGACTGGCCATGCATGCTCTCTAGTCTCTCTTTATTTCTTGATATACCAACTATACCTACACTAGATCCATCACAGTTTCTAACCATCAACTCCTCGACCACGTCATCCACATCACCTGTATTCTGCAGGCTAGAACATGGAGGGTTTTCTCTTTGATCCAAGGGATTCACATTCTTACCTTCAAGAATTTCTGCGATTACATCAAATGAGCTATCAGGAGAACTAACCCCCTCCTCAGCATGCACTTCTTTGGTTTCCAGCAACTCACCACAATTCTCGGGTTTAAGAGACTGCTCACCATCTTTGAACTGAAGATGAGCAGCCTCGGCCTCGTGGACCCTAGAAACATCCTCTGCCACTCTTTCATCCATAATTCGCTACACCTTCTGTATCACAACGAACTGCAAATTTGGATCATCCCATTATAAAGGAAGAAGAAATAGAGGAAACACAAAATGAGGTAACTTCATAGCATTAACATGGTTTTGACAGTTGTTGCCTGTCCATAGGAGATAAACCTTGAGAAAAAACATCAGCCAACATCATACAAATCTGAAATTACACCATGCCACAACAAACTCCGTTTCAGTGGCTTGATGATACAAGAACTGCCCGTAAGGTTTAACCACTCAAAACTTAAAACACTACTCAAAGCTAATATGCAAATCAAACCCAGAGAGAGAAAGAGAGAGAGAGAGAGAGAGAATGAACCCACCGATAGATTTTGATTCAGAGCTTCATGTAGAATCACCCCATAAGCAGCTTCAGTTCAGCAATACCGGAGTTGTCTAGAGTTGAATCAAAAGAACCCTAAAGGAGAATACACGGGCAAAGATTTTATCAAGAATCTCTTCCCCATTAAAAAAAAAAATCTCTTCCCCAAAGCCAAATCTAAGGGATGTTTGAATTCACAAAAATCCCAATTCCGAAAAATAAAATTGTCTTCAAATAATCCAAATGGACAGTCGCATCTCCCAGAAAAACAAGGACTATCATTACCAAAGTGGGCCAAAAAAAAAGTGAGGAACATCCGAAGTTCATCCGAATGATCATAAATCTTTCGACCAAAAGTCACTAAGAAAAGTAAAAGAGAACCAGAGTTTCTTCTTTCACCTGTCTTTTCGCCGGCAGAGATGATTACGAACTGAGAGATTAAGAGCCACAAAAGCTAAATCGCCGAAGCCAACCATTGTCGGACCCTATCCATGGAAACACCCATAGGACAAGGGAATCCGCCGACAGAACCAAGGCGGCGGAGAGAGCAGCAAAGAAGCGGTCGGCGAACAGAAGGTGAAGAGCAAAAATCTCGACAAAACGTTGGAAATTTTGATTAAACGCCGATAAATTTTCGAAGGCAGAAAATGAATGGGACTGTGTTCGAGTTCAAATCAGCCGGACCAGATAATTTTCTTTCTTTTTTTCGGAAAAAGAGGAAGCGATAAATCCTGTGAACTTGTTCATTGCTAATATATCCGAATTACTCCCTATATTTTTCAATATTTACGAATACAGCCGATCTTAACATTGATTGCAGGCTGAAATAACAATATATATAAGTTGAAGGACCAAAGAGCAATATCTTAATGATACAAAATGTTAAAAGGGAAAAACTTACTGCCGGGACGCGTGATTTGCTCGGCTTCTCCTGTCGCGTCTCTCTGCTCTCTCCCGTCGAAGAAACTCTCCTCCGCTTTTCCTGCCACTGCCGCCGGCGACTTGAATCTTGATCGTTGTTTCTCCGTCTGCGGTAAGCTTTAGTTTTCTTCTTCAGTTTCCGTTTCTGTCGCAAAAGGGGTTTCGGTGGGTCTTTGTTAGGGATTTTGGCGATCCGATTGGTTTAGGCCTCATTTCACCGTATCGAATCGTATAATCTTGCAAATATGATTGGTTTTTAGGTCTAATTTCGCCTAAAAGATCGTGGAATCTGGTATAGTGATGAAATGATCAACGTGATGGGTGTGCATTTTCGCGTGATTTTCAGCCAAGTCGTCGCCGAAAAGCTCATCGGAGGAAACGGTTCTGATCCTTCTCGTCGCATTCGGAGATCCAGAGACCGATGGCTTTGAACGAGCAGCTCAATAAGTTCAAGAAACAGCAAGAGAAATGCCAGTCTACACTGTCCAGCATAGCTGCGAGGGCAGCATCAACGAGGCCCTCTGTGTCAGCAGCAACGGCCAGTGCGAAGCCTGCCACTCCGGTCAAGTTCTCGAACGAAACCGAGCTGTACAAGCAAATCAACAGCATAAGAAAAGCTCCTGTTGGGGCTCAAATGAAGCGTGTCATCGAGCTTTTGCTCGAGGTTTGAGTCCCTGATTGTCTCTTTCTCTGCCCTAACTCATGAAAATCACCTTTAAGGAAAAAAAAAACTCATAAAAATCACTGTGTATCGAAAACATTCCCCCTTTTGATTATACCCTCAAGATCCTTTTCCCACTAATGATGTTGCTTGGTTTGATAATCTCATCTGTTTCTCGAACTGTCTTGTTTGGTTTATGTAATGTTAGATTTTCTTGCAGACAAGGCAAGCTCTTACACCCGAGGAAATAAAGGAAGTGTGTTATGTTGATATGATCTCCAATAAGGCTGTTTTCGATAATATGAAGAACAATCCAAAAGTACACTATGACGGAAGGCGATTCTCGTACAAGGTAAACAACCATGATATGCAAGGTGGTTAATTATGAGTTTCCATCTGTTTTTCTTTGTGCTGAAGCTTAATGTATTGCGGCTCTGCTGAAC